CTTGCTGCTGTCATAAACTGGTTCATGCACATGCCTATTGACGAGGTTATGGGCAAAACAGAAATCAGAGTTGCCACCTTTTATGTTTACGGGGCCTTGTAGCATTTACAAATTGCGTATTGCTGTACTTGTTAAATTTCTGTCTAATGAACTTATGAAAGACACAGAAATAATTGCTGACATATGTGCTCCCCTTTCTTGATGGGCATCTTCTTTGTTTTGTAGATTTAGTCCTTGTAGTAGCAGTGGAGTCGAGGTTCCTGATGGGTTTTCTGTCCAAAGGGCTGGGGCAGAACACATGCGGGAGGGGTAACAGGAAGAGTGCCCTTCCTTCCTGGATAATTTTTGTGCAGTCTTCTCTTTTACCAAATTTCCATTGTGCACTTGAAAACTCACAGTTCTGTGGATGTAGGGACAGAGCAATATACCTTCAAACTTTTGGTAGAGCAGGTTTTCCCCCAACTTCATCTTACCCAAGCGCCTGCTTTTTGTTGTGAAAATCCTTTTGAAGGGTCAGGAGAGCCTAGCAAACAAATGCACCAACAATTCAGGTGACAAAGAGGAAATCAAGAAAATGGCTTCCTTCTGTCTTCTCTGTTGCTGCCAGTTGCTAGCAGAAAAGAGAAAAGAACATTATTTTACATGGTTGCCCCATATTGCTACTGCACCCTAATTGGTGGAGTATTCAGCTCACAAAGGATTTTCAGGGGGAGAAACAGTCAGCTTGGGAGTGGAGAAGGCAGGGAAAGATCCACTTCACCAAATCCTTCCATGAATTTTCGCACTATTTAACTCAACATGGTGAACTCAGTTCCCTTACTGAGGTTTACATACTCCTGATGCTGTGTGATGATTGGCTGCTCCATCAAATGTATTCATCTCCTTCAAAGGAGAAGAGAAGATGGATACTGTGATTTGTCTAGAGAAACAGTGAAAGTGTTTTTGCTAGTTGCAGTGCTACTGCAGCATGGAAGATGAACCGAATTCTGGCTTTGTGGACAGGATTGAATATATTATACCTCTTCCTCTGACACCACATCCATTTATCCAGGGGTCATTTCCTGCAGGAGTGCACAGGAGCGGAGCTCCGGCTGTAAAGAGCCCAGGGGGCGGGCACATGCAACAAGCCCTGCCCCCTGCTCCCAGCAGCCCTCAGTCAGAGCAAGAAGCAGCCAGGTAAGCTGCAGAGCCCTCCCCCCGGCCCCCGGCCCAAAACAGTCCAGTGGCACCTTTAAGACCAAGTTTTATTCAGGTACAAGCTCTCCCTCCTCTGCGAGGACAGATCCAAAACAGTCCAGTGGAGCCTGAGCGGTGGGTGTTGCCTTCTGACACACTTCCGGTGATGTCAGGGGGTGTGGCATATGCAAATAAGTTATGCTAATGAGCTCCTGCACCTCTTTTTCTACGAAATGACCCCTGCATTTATCTACCCAATTTCTATCACAGTACTGGTGGGAATCTTCTCATGGAATGACTGTGCCAGTCCTGAGTCTGCTCAACCTTAGAGCTTCACTATAGCCCCACTTCAGGTGTCCTGTGCTGCCATTCACCTGGGAAAAGGGAACTTGGGACCATTATGGTCCTACCCAGCCAGCCTCACTTGAAGATAAGTGCCCACATTTTAGGCTACAGTACTATAAAGGGAGGCTAACTTTGACTTAGAACTTTGGTTAGGATGGTACTATAAATCATAGAATATGTGTAGGATATGTACCATAATCCATCATAGTCCTTTTAAAAAAATCTGAAGTGAAACCAGGGCTTTCCCCCCAGCTAAAGCTGTTTAAGTTTTGTTTAACTGTGTTGGATATATCAAGAAAGTTATATGAATGCTTATTAAAATTTATGAAATATATTTTGATGTACAAAGCAGTATGTACTTAATCTGACAAAACAGCATGCCACAATTTTACAGTACCCAGTGTATTGTAAATACAGAATTCTTCCACCATTCAGGCTGTAGTATAAGCAGGAAAAGGTTTATTGTTCTTACATCCTCAAGCTGCCAATAAGCTGTACAATTGTATGACTTAATTGATTGTCTTCCATTAATCAATTAACAAACATTTAAAGTTAAAGACAGAATTACAAAGTTAAAGACAGAATTACAATGCATTTGAAGTCATGATAGCTTGTCATTTATTAGTTGATGAATACAGTAGCATATATCAGACTCATTTCTTGTCTTTCTAATTTTTTCATTCCATCACAATCTCACTTTTAACTTTTAAAGATTTCTTATCACATTAAAGATGTGAAATCAATTATTCCTTGTTCCCTTGATAAGATGATGCACGGAGGAGGTGCTAAAAGTAGAGAATACAGGTTCTGGGAACTTAAAATGGACCAGTAGGGTCCAGATAGGTGATATAGTGGGACTGTGAAATGTCCTACTGTATCCATGAGCCTCATATACAGAAGAATGTTTCTGGGGTTCCTTCCCAGGTTCAATTCATACGTTCCTGATATCTTATTACTTATTAACATTTGATGTCTCAAAGCTACATATGTGAGTTCCATTGAAAAGTATTGATTTTTGAAGTGATGGCAAATGATACAAAAGTGCAGTCAGTACTGGACCTTCAACAACCACTGAATGAGAACCAAAAGTCTTGAGATGGAAACAAAACAGGGTGGTTAAACTGTTAAACTAGGAGATGGGGCAGGGGAGGTGGAAAGCACCATCAAGTCACAACTGACTTATGGCGACCCCATGGGGTTTTCAAGACAAGAGATGTTCAGAAGTGGTTTGCCATTGCCTACCTCCACATCACAACCCAGGTAGTCCTTGGAGGTCTCCCACCCATTTACTAGCCAGGACCAACCCTGCTTAGCTTCTGAGATCACACTAGATTGGGCTACCCTGGGCTATCCAGGACAGAGCAGGATCTGGGGGACTCAGGTTCAAATTCCCACTCTGCCATGGAGGCTTGCTGGGTGACTTTGGGCCAGTCACTCTCTGCCTAATTTCCTTCACAGGGCTGTTTATTTTTTTATTTAAAACATTTTTATGCCACCTTTCCACCCAGTTAGGATCCCAAGCTCATGAATAGCGAGGGGCATGGACCAGACCATGGACCTAATTTTTCCATGGACCTGGGGCCCATTTCATGGTCTGTGAGCCCAGTCCATATACCCGCTGACACAGACTTCCTACCACTGCACCAGGAGGTCCATAGGTCCATGTAGGGGTGGGGCTTGCAAAAGTCATTTAAAGTCATTCCCTTTAAATGGCTTTTGCAAAGCTGCATAGTGTGAAAGTTGAGACAGCAGTGACATCACCCATTTCTGGGTGGGTGAATTCGCCTCTCATCCTTCAATCACACACCAGGTGGCTTTGCAAAGCATGCAGCACATGAGTGAAGGCCAAATGACGAGTTCACCCACCCAAATGTGGGTAAACTCATCACTTAGCCTTCACTTGCATGCCAGGCAGCTTTGCAAAACGTGCTGCATGCGAGTGAAGGCCGAGTGTCAAGTTCACCCACTTCCACATGGGTGAACTCATCACTTGGCCTTCACTCGCACACCAGGTGGTTTGCAAAGGCCATTTAAAATCTAAATGGCTTTTGCAAAGCAGCACAGCATGCAAGTGAATACTGAGCGGCAGCTTCACCCACCAGGAAGTGAGTGAGCTCACTGCTCAGCCTTCATTCATGGAGCTGGCGGCTTTGCAAACGCCATTTAAAATTTAAATGGCATGGTCCCAACAGACCATGGTCCGGTCCGGTCCGTTACATGGAGGTTCATGGTCCAGGGGTCTGTAAACCCCATGGACCCACAGAAGACCTAGGTTTGAATTCTCACTCTGCCATGGAAACTTGCCGGGTGACCTTGGGACAATCATGCACTCTCACCCTCACCTACCTCACAAGGTTGTTGTTAGGATTACATAGATGAAAGAACAGTCTCTGGGGAGAAAGGTGGGATATAAAAGGAGAAAATAAAAAAGTGAATGAATAAATAAACCATACTAGCACATTTTTGATCAGAACCTTGTAAACTTTGTCTGGGCTGTGGTCTACCTCATGCCTGCCTAATGCAGTAGGGATGAATTCTGACACAGTGAGCATATCACAGAGCATAGTCATAACAGAGCAGTGCTCTTTGATTTGTGGACTCTATTAATTTGATGCTAAACCATTATCAGTGTGGATAATTTCTCTGAATGAATAGAAAGAGGTAGTTGCAATCTAAATTGATATGACTCTTAGGTAATCTTCAAGACAAATATTTTTGTTACCCCCAGTATTATGATATATGGCTTTGGAAAATCTCTAGTAGCTACTCTTTTTAATATACAACCTTTGTATTTTCACAACATCTGTGAATTGTATGTGTGTTAGTTGCAATTGTGACAAAACATGCTGAACCTTGTGACTGGTTAGGACAGGATTCCAAGAGTCTGTTCTTTACTAGAAAATTATTTGTCACCTGTAAGTGTATCTCCTCCTTCCTATTATCAGTTGTTTTGTTGAGTGTCTGATCTGGTCAGCCAAGCTCTTTATAAAAACAAAAATCAAAGCCAGAGCATATAAGGACTTTTTTCTAATGCCACATGATGTTCAGAAAAATATCTTTGACTCCATCAGGCCATTCCACACTCTCTTCAGGCTTTGCTGTTTTATTAGAAAGAATTAAGGAAATTGATCTTGTCCTTTGACCTGAACTCTGTCTTTTGTTTTGTCTTGTCATATACATTCTAGCAACATTCTAGCAACTTTTTATTTGTAGTGAGACACAGAGAATCTAATGTGAACTGTGCACTTCTGTTCATCTCCCCGCCCCTCATATTTTAGCCTGTAGGTGATTTTTATTAATTGCTTAGGATTTTGTGGGTATTTGAAAATGACATTGTAACAATATTTTTGTTTTTGTTGTATGTTGCTCTGAGGGAGCTTTTACTTGAAAAAGGTTTCTGATAAACTTTAACAGAAGTCATAAAGATTATTCCTGTTTCTTTTCAAACTTGAAATTAACATTTCTCATTTTTCTTATAGCCGCTTGGAACAAAACTCTATCAGAAGCATCACCCCTGGAGCTTTCTCCCAGTATAAGAAACTTAAAAGAATGTAAGTACATTAAGTGTTCTAATATATTTTTAAAATGTATTGCTGATAGCTATGATCCACTGAGGCCAACAGAAGTGCATAGGTATTTGTCCTGCTAATTATGGGAAGATTTCAAGGGTCCTGTGGGTAAAAACGACATGTACACAGTTAGCTCTTGGACACTGCACTCACGGTAGTAGATTCAGCATCCCCTATATGCATTTATGTGCCATCAAGTCACAACAACTTATGGTGACCCCAGCAAGGGGCTTTCAAGGCAAGTAAGAAGCAAAAGTGGTTTACCATTGCCTTCCACGGCAGAGTCCACCATCCAAGCACTGATCTGCTTAGCTTCTGAGATCTCAGGCTATACCATACCATTCCACATTTTCAGTATCTCCTATGCTAGACTACTAAAATGTTTTTTCCAAATCACTGGGTAGAGTTGCTGAAAGGAAAAATAAAAAAAACCATGCTCATACAGAACATGAATTACTGGACTGAGCTAATGTATTTGTCTGAATTAAATAAATCTATATATCTAATTCCCAAGATAACTATGGATATCTAAATCTGCAGATGGGGGCACACTTACCCCAAACCAGTTTTTCTGCAAACTTGGGTGACCCCCTAGGTTTGCAGAAAAATCTGAAAACTTAAAAAAAATACATTGGGTTTAAATCCCTCCGCCCAATAAAAAAACTTACCATTTAGTGCCTGGCTGCTGCTGCTCCTGTGGAGCCGATCTGGCCTCAGCTGCGGGGGCAGGGAATGCCAGGAGCCACTTTGGGCCCAGTCACGGCAACAGGGAATGCCCAGAGAGGCTCTGGGCCTGGCTGCAGCAGAGAGAAATGTTGGGAGAGGCTCCGGGCCCAATTGCGGCCATACAGAACACCGGGTGGAGCCACAACAGTGGGGAAAGCTGGGAGAGACTCCAGGCCTGGTTGTGGCAGACACCAGGAGCTCCTCTAGACCTGGCCACCACCAGGAGGTGCTTGGAACTGCCACTGCTACTGGCCTTAAAGGTAGGGGAAAAGAGGGAGGAAGAAAGAAGGGGGATTGGCTTGTGGGGGAGAGAAAGGGAAATATGGGGGTATTGGCTTGGGGGGGGGAGAAAGAAGAAGAGATTGGATGTATACCCCACCCTTCACTTGGAGTCTCAGAGCTGCTTACAATGTCCTTTCCTTCCTCTCCCCATAATAGTCACCCTGTGAAGTAATTGGGGCTGAAGGAGCTCTGAGGAAACTGCTCTTGGGAGAGTAGCTCTGAGAGAACAGTGGCTTGCCCAAGGTCACCCAGCAGCTGCATGTGGAGGCATGGCGAATCAAACCCAGTTCTCCAGATTAGAGTCTGCTGCTCTTAACCACTACATCACACTGGCAGATTGGCTTGGGGGGGGGGGGGGGGGGGGAGAGAGAGAGGGAAGGATTGGCTTGGTGGAAGGGTGGAAAGAAAAAGAAAGGGATTGTCTTGGGGAGAGAAAGAAAAGGAAAGATAGGGAGAAGGAAGGAAGCAAAGGTGGGGGAATGCCCCCTCCCTGCAAATTTCTTGTGGGTCCCCACTTGTTTAATTCTAATTTGCACGGTGAGATTCATGTGGATTATCTCCCTTTTAAATAAAAGCCGAATGGTGGTGGCACTTCTCTAGAACATTCCATGGACACGCTCCAAAATCAGTTCGCTCTCTGATCTGTCATTCAGAGGGTCTCCCTATCCACTGGCTGCTTTGCCTGAGTCCTGCCTCCAACATTCTAAACATTTTGCTGTTCCTCTCCCCCCCATAGCCAGTCAGAACACAGAGGTTATTTGCATATGCAGCCTCATTGGCCTTTGCCTTGGAACACAGAGGTCATTTGCATATGCGACTTGATTGGCTTTTGCCTCTAACATTCTAAACAGTTTTCTGTTCTGAGGTAAAATGTGTCCAAACTCCAGGTGAGGGCTGGAGATCACTCAGAATTACAACTGCTTTCCAGATGGCAGAGATCAGTTCCTCTGGAGAAAATGGTGGGCTCTGTATCCTTATATGCTGCTGTGGTGGCCCCCATATGACAGCCAATGTGACGTAGCAGTCAAGGCTTCAGAGCACGGGAGAGGCTGCAGGTGTGTGGGGGGGTAGAAAGCTGAAGAGTGAGGGAGAAATAAAGGTAAGTTGATGATTGACTGGGAAGGAGATAGGGTTGCCAACTCCAGGTGGGAAATTCCTGGAGATGTGAGGGATGGAGCCTGTAGAGGGTGAGGTTTCAGGAAGCGTGGCATCTCGGACAGGTACAAAGCCATAGATTCCACCCTCCAAACCAACCATTCCCTTTTGGGAAACCATCGTTGCCAATCTCCAGGTGAGGGCTGGAGATCACTCAAAATTACAACTGTTCTTTAGGTGGCAGAGATCAGTTCTTCTGGAGAAAATGGTGGATTCAGTGTCATTATACCCTGCTGAGGTCGCCACAGCAAATTGACACTGAGTATCCAAGGCTGGGGCACCCACCCAGAACCTCTTTATAGAGGCTGTTGTATTTATTTCCACAACGGGCCTTTTTCCTAGTCAGATAATATTTACACATTTTTGTAGTATTTAGGCCAGTGTGTTTAGGCCAGTGTAGGCCAGTATTTAGGCCAGTGCATAAACATTATGCCATTAATAACATCTAGATTGTCTTCTGTCCTATGGAGCTACTCTACTCAGTATTTTCCTTAATATAAAATTTCTAAGAGAAAAGGCCTAAGGTATTTGTTCCTGCTTAATGATAACTTAATTTTAAACAACTGGCTTATAGCAGGGGAGACTGCTTTCATATGAGTAATTTTCCAAATGTGGTAATAGCATGTTTATTTTATCGTTGACAGGAAATAGTTTTAATTTCTAAGAAAATATAGTGGGTCTTTTTAATATGAGTGCCATTGGTCGGGGAAATGCTAAGCAACTTCAGTATAATTACTCTGTGTTTATGTCAGTAGTAAAAGAAAGCAAAATATGACCATGTTTATATTCAAAAACGTACCAAGAGAAAAGTTGAAGAACTTCATTAACAGGCCTGCTGATGATCATTTGGTTTGAAAGCAATAATATATATTTGCTGGACATGTAAAAGATTCCAAAAGTCACAGTGTGCTGATATATTTTTTTTTATGGAGGACATAGTCAAAAGAAGCTTCTGTCAGTATCCTGTGGTATCACATCATTTAAGATAAAAAAGACCTATGGAGTCAGTTCTCCTAATCCCTATTTGAAACTTCCAGAGTATACCTTGCAATGTTTTAACCTGTTGTTTTGGAATAAGGCTGCTTAGGATAGCTCAGTTTATATTATTAATGAGCACACATAGCATCCAAAAATATCTGCTAAACCCTGTTGGAAGTTGTTATCTTCCAAGTTAACCCACTGAGCTTTTAAAGAGATAGAATAATCCCAGCAAGACAGATAATGCTGTTCCTTGTGTCTTGCATTTTCAACACACCAACATGTTATTGTAAAGCAACTCCATACCAAACAGCAAGATAGCAATTATTGAGATCAGTTTTTCTTACCTTAAAAACAGAGGGAAAGTACTTTAATTTCTAGAAAAGAAAGTACAAAATACTTAGAATGTGGTAAGTGTGGATTTTAGGCTAGTTAGAGCATTTGTCAACAGCATATGATGCTTTGCTGCTGAACTATTTCAATAGTGTAAAAACTACGGAATAATCCACTTATTAACTATAGTCAAGAACCTTGCTTGTTAATGTCCGTGTCTTATAGATCATGGAGACGTCCTGCTTAGTAAAGATATTTCAAAGGTTGCCCCGTCCCCCCATTCTTCCCTTTGAAACTCTTTCAAGCATGTAAGGAATCAAGCTCAAAAGAGAATAACAAAAAGTAGGTTTGACAGCGCCCAGCCCCGCTCCTGAGGGTTCAAATCTGCCTTAGGATCGCAGTGCATGGGCCTGAATCCCAAACGGTGAATTGCCACTGGGAAATCAGCCACACGCCACTTCACCCCTGTTGGCAAAAAGACCCTTTAATGGGTATTTTTGCCAGTGGAGCTGTGGCTGGTGACAGCCCCTTTCCCTCCCTGCTAAAAGATTTAAAGGGCCCTCCAGTTGGTTGGCGGGCCACGTGCTCCCTGCTGATCAGCTGAAGCCCTTTAAATCTTTTACCAAGGAGGGAAAGGGGTGGCTGTGGCTTGGGGATAGAGCTTGGGGGTGGAGCTTAGGGGCATCCCTGCCCACCCCTGGAACGCTCCCCAATTCCCCCCACCGGATTGACCTGTGGGCCTGGCAACCCTAACAAAAGGGATGGTTTTACATTGGACAAAGGTGAAACCCCAATTTACATGGGGTAAATGTTCTGATTAGATCTCAGAACATAGCTTTGTTAAAAGAAATAAACTCATATGAAGAGAGAGAAAAATCACTGGCAAAGAACATGATTTGGTTCTTCTGACATCTAAGTGAAGATTTTGGATGTCAAAACCAATACCTCCTCAAGTGTTTTAATCACTTGGAGTATCTTTAATAGGAAATCTTATTATTTGTTAGTTCCTAAAGAAGAAAAAATACTTAATCATTATTAGACAGTAGTTAGAAGAAGCAATAGTTGGGTAGTGGAGGGAAATCCATTGCAGGCATTATAGAGAGATGACAAGATACCTATGAGTGGATCTCATCTCCCAGTATCAGAGGGGACTTAACATTTTTTTTATAAAGGGCATGTTCCAAAGTACAGCTTTTTTCTTGTTTGAAAATCTGGAAAAAATGATTATTTTATTTATTTTTCTATGTGAGAGAAACAGAAAAATTCAGGTAGGATACAGTCACCATTACTAGTGTATGTATTAGGATGTAGAGCAGATGTTAATGCAGGAACAATATACATGCCTAATGCTAATGTTGCAGGAAATCCCTCAGTTTCTGGAAAGACTTCAGCCTAGTCATGTGTTCTGGTGTAGAAAACAGAGATTAAGCTTACAAGGAGGGTCTTAGTAGATTTCCAGAGACTTTATTCTGCAAAATGGGAGAAGGAAGAGTTTAGTATGTCTGTTTGTCCTATAATAAAGTAAAAAGAGAGAAGGAACATATGATATCATAGGCCCAAGTGCGATGAAACAAGAATTCAGGTAAAAGAGAAGATGGCTTCGTTTGGAGATGGGGAAAATTGATTATATTGTGCTTTTGCCTAATTATAATCTATTTATTTTAGACCTCATGGCTCAGTGTGAAAGGACATTGGACTACCAGGAATGATGTATGAGGGGAGAGTTTTGTTTATATTTAAATAAGTTTGTATTAAATATTTGTATTTGCATAGTATATATGAAAGTAAATTGAGAATTGAGTTGCAATGTAATAGTTTGGGCAGGTCCTTTTGTGTGTTATGTCCATACAAAAATTAAGAGTATCTTGACCATAGATATACAGAAGAGCATCTCATGCATTCATGGGTCCTCTTACCAGAGCTAGATTACTTTTAACTCAGCTGTGTGCTGCTTGTATATAGTATGATTACACGGAATCATACATAAAGGTTGATGTAGACTTAGCTGTGTGAGTTTAAAGTAAGATAGAATGAATGTGCTCCCTGTGACTGTTGGCGACTATGCAACAATATTTGCTATCTTTTCAGTGAAAAAACATCTTGCATTCACAGGATTAAAAACTTTAAACATGGCTAGCCTGTTTGTCACTGTTATCTACAGATAAATCATTTAAAAATGCTTAGGGCACATTGGCAAATTGTGTTTTCATCGGTTCCTTGCCTTCTTCCATTGTATGTCTTTACAGTGATATCAGCAAGAATCAAATATCGGATATTGCATCAGATGCTTTTCAGGGCCTGAAATCTCTCACCTCACTGTAAGTAGAGGGTAATCTTGAATGGGAGATTTGTAGAGAATCTCAAAAATAACGATCAAATATTGAGTTTGTGATGTTTTCCTGTTCTCTTTGCATTTGTCACCTTGAGTGAGGACCCTAATCTTCCTTAAATTGGAAATTGATTAGACAGACTTAAAGATGACTTTGTTTATGTAACTCTAGATTCTTTATATAGATGAGCAACTTATGAAGGTTAGCTATTCAGCCCTTGAAAACATCAGCACAGACAATATTTTTCTTTCACTGAATGTTATATTGATATTAACAGCAGAAAATATAATTTTTGTTGAATAAATACTTTTCGTTGAATAAATAATTTTTGTCGAATAATTTTGTTGAATAAATAATTTTTGCTGAATAAAGATCAGAGACCCATGTATTTTTAAATTTTAATCTACAAATTATATTCTTTGATCAGGGGGTCCCAACCTTGTTGAGCCTATGGGCATCTTTAAAATACTGGCACAGGGTAGTGGGTGCAACCACAAAATGGCTGCTTTGGGAGGTGTTGAAAGAAGCACAAAATTGCTGCCCTGGGAGGTGGAGCCACACACACACACAAAGCCCAAGTGCAGAGGAGAAGAGAGGTAATTTTTAAAAATACACCAGGAAAAAGGAGTGCAAAAGAGAATAAAATCAACACTGTGGTGGCAGTTGCACAGCTAATCAGATCTCCAGTGGCCAGTCATAAGTAGGGATGGACACGAACCAGTTCACAAGCCAAAATTCAGCATGAACTGGGCCTGGTTCAGAGCCCCTGAACCTATGTTCGGGGAAAGCTTGGAAGCGGGGTGGGGGGAAGCAAAACCAAGTGGTGAAATGGCTGGAAGCCATTTAAACCTAACAGTGAGGCAGGTCTGCCTGTCAGCTGTTAGGTTTAAATGGCTTCTAGCCATTTAAACCTTCCTGTGGCGATCCCCCCCTTTCTCCCAGCTGCAACTTACCACAGTCAGGAGAAGGGGGGATCTGAACTGGCCGATTAGTGGCATTTTTTGTTTCGGTTCGGAGTTCAGTTTGTGTCCATCCCTAGTCATAAGCCCTGCTGGGCAAGATCCCCATCTGGCCACACCAATTTTCTTAAAACACTTAGCAAGTGCCAGGAAAGGTGTTGGTGTTACCATGGCACCCACAGACACCAAGCTGGGGACTATAGCTTAGATCCCTGGAACCCTGGTCACTAAATGCCTAGTATATTGTTTTCTCTAATAAGATATATGAGGTTAAATACTGAATATTCCAGTAAAACTGCACATATTGGCATTTTTTTCACACTTGTCTTTATCCTCAAAAATATGGTGTGGGAAGGGAGTTCATGCTGGTCTAAAAACAGGCTGTTTTACTTCAACAACTTATAAACAGACAGACTTTGAATCTGCAGAAAAGAAGCTTTGAAAAGCCAGTGGCTTAAAAAAAAAAAAAGACCAAGCGAAGAGATCTAAAGAGATAATTAATGGACTCCTTAGAGCTAACAAATATAATTTCAACATCATTTTGGAGTTTATTTATTTATTTATTTTATTTCATTTATATCCCGCCCTCCCCGCATGTGGGGAGTTAGGTCTAGAAGCATGTTCATTCATCATTATTTACAGGGCACCTAGTTCTGTTCCTTTTTCTGTTCTTTCTGCATGTCCATTGTTAAAATGTAACAACAAAATGAAAATCAAAGTTGGCACTACCAGGGTAATAGTGCTTTTTATTTCAAACAAATTACATATCATACAGTTACATACTTACTTGTCAAGCTCTGGCATCCATATTGGTTTACTGTGTATTCATTCTGGCTTATTGTGTTCCTGTTAGTTAAATAATTCTTAGCATCTGCAGTGCTTGCACCTTATCGCTGTACCTCTGCCCTCACCTGCCATTCACATTCCTAAGGGTGTGTGTGTGCTAGTAGTACATTAGGGAGTACTGCTTGGTAACTTTCTGAAGGGAGCCCCAAGACAACATTCTCATGGGAATGTCCTTGGCAAAGTCTTGTGCCTGGCTAGGTTAGATAGGGCGACCATATATCTGTCTGGGTTGCTATAGAAACGCTGATGTGGGTGTGATTGGAATTTTGGGGTTTCATCTATATGTTGCTTTTCCCGCCTTTGCATATTAGTCCTAACAAAGAATTTGAACCCATAGCATATCTTCAATAAAGCATTTCACTGTCAAGGTGTGTGTGAAGACTGATTTGACTGGGGTAACCTGACATTACTGTAATTCAATTATATATTTATTGCCATTTTTCCTAAGCAACAGTGATTACCCTCAGTGCTGCCAACAGTGGCTTTGACCCAAAGCTGATATTCACATGCAGAAAACACTCCTATGCAGGTGAACTGTTTTACTGATCTCCCCCCCCCCAGTGCCATCTGGAAACTGGCTACATTGGTTCAGGGGATCTCCTAGAGCAGTTACAGTGTGTCGAGGGATGGCAAATTTGGCTGCAGATAGGGAGAATCAGTGATCCACCTACATGAGTGAAGTGCCTTTTTCTTCTGAACATCTCGGCATCCAATCAGCAGTGAATTTATATGGATTCTGCCTAGCTAATTATCCTATCGACTGATTTGTGATACAAGCAGGGGTCGTTTCATAGAAAAAGAGCTAGGGGAACTCATTAGCATAACTCATTAGCATATGCCACACCCCCTGACATCAGGGGCCTGGCGGTGGACCTGCAAGGCCAGCGGGAGTGCGAGGAGGCCCCGCCGAGGCCCTCCCTGGCCCCAGGCAGGCAGGGGTGGGGAGAGGCGGGGAGGAAGCAACTTACCCTCCCTCTTCTCCTGCCTCCTCCTGGCTGAATGAGGGCTGGAAGCGGGGCGGACGGAAGCAGGGGGCGGGGCTTCATCATGTGCCCCGCCCCCTGCACCTCACCCGGGGGAACTGCGTTCCCCCACGTTCCCCCCCGAAATGACCTCTGGATACAAGATGACCAGGAAAACCCCCCACCAAAATATTAATCTATTCTACAGAGCTGTGTTTAAGCTACTTTGTTGTTTATTAGGTAGATACAGTTCCCCAAAGGTCCCCAATGATTAGACCTTGTGATTTGCACTAAAATCTTCTCATGGACTTCTAGTTCTCAGCTTGCTGGTGTTGGGCTGGTCATAAATGTACTGAATGCTAGGCATAAACCCATACTAAAAAAATGCACTAATCTAGTCCGCTTCTTTGTAAACCCCATTTTCACTTCATTTTGTTTATATTTGAGCAAGTAAGTGTAAAGGGTGACTTGCTTTTTTCATGGCAGCTAAAGTGTGTTGGGAGGCAAAGTGACTGTATATTATGTAAGTTCTCTTTTTAGTCCCTCCATGACCCAACGAAACTGAAATGAATTTTCATTTATTTCAGTGAGGCCACTAGCTTGAATCAGAATGAGTAACCATTGAGTAAGAAATTAGCATATGCTTCTTATTATGTATTATATTTATAGCCCACCCTATTCTGTGGGCTCAAAATAGACTACAGTAGTATCACCAAAGAGCCTCAAGGGGCTCACAATCTTCTCGTACAGATTACCTGATATATAAGACTTCTGGTTGCCAGTAGACTTTCCACACATCTAACTTGGCTGTGCTGGAACTTAGAAGACCTTTTCCAGACTGTCTGGAGACATTTCATGTGATGTGTCAAGCCAGTCGTCTTTTGCTCAGTGGTGAGAGAATTTATTTCAGGTCCGTGTAATACATGAAATTCTTTTCCTTTCTGATTCAGGCTCCCAACCAATTTTTAAAGGTTAGATTAGTTCAGATACAGACACATAACCAAGCTTAGTATTTGGCAATACTATTCACATTTACATCATCTCATAAGGAGTAAGGGTGTGTTATCATTGGCGGGAAGGATACAGTCAGAGAGGAAAAAATATGCTATTGCGTTAATATGATGATAGACCATGGCTGTAATAATTTATACTTTTAATTGTTTGACTTGTTATGCTGGAAATACCTTTTGTTCCTTGGAGTTTCTGATATTAAAAACAACTCTGATCCAGAATTTGTGAAGCTTTTAAATTTGCAGGGCTGTTAAGCATTCACATAAGTTTTCTTCGGTATCTTGCATTCCAAATCCTTTTGAAGGCTGAATAGCTGCTTTTTGATTATGTTAAAGTTGAAGTGGAATCTTAACTGTTCCTAAATAATAAAACTGGTTGCTAGAAAGCACCGGTGTAGCAAAATATTATCAGACACTGGTATTTAGAACGGCTTGCCAACATATCCACTGGTTGTCAATCACCTGCTATACACTTTTACTTATCCTTCTCCCCTAACCCCAGTGAACCATAAACACAGCTTCTGGGAGAGCAGGATCACCATATTAAGAATCAGCTTGTTGACCAAGGGAATGTACCATCTTTAAACCTAGCTGAGTTGTCAAAAAAGAACATCCCTGTCCCTTCATGGATATTTTCCTGCTGCAAAGGAGCTAGTTGTCTAGAGGTAGTATATACAGTGCCAAATGAAAAGGAACAGTTTTGACAGTGATAGGAATTATCAACAGCATGGTTTTTTGGTTCTCAACAAGACTCTCTGCAGGTCCCCGGGGCTTTTTCCCCCTTCATTTCCTAACACAGATCTTCACTCTAGCAATACTGCCATTTGCTTTTCAAAGCCAGATACTATTTATTTCATTTATACATGGCCTCTGTTTCCATTGGGGACCCAAAGAGGCTTTAATTGTTGTTGTCCTTGCCTCCCTTTTATCCTCATAGCCATCCTGTGAGGTAGGTTAGGCTGAGTGTATATGACTGGCCCAAGGTCATCCATCAAGCTTCCACTGAAGAGTGGGGATTCAATCCTGGATCTCCCAGGTCCTAGTTTGACACTGTACCACACTGGCTCCAAGTGGCTAACAGTGCCAGCTGAAGCACTGTTTCTCCCTTCTAAGCTCATTGACTTCAATGGATTTAGAAGGTTGTAGCACTGTTTAGGATGGCACTATAATAATGCCATCTTGAAAACACTTTTCTGGAAGTCCTATTGAATAGACTGAATAGTATTCTAAGTAAATCTGCTTAAACTGACATTGTAAGCATCTAAGAAGCTGAAATAGAAGGCTGAAGAGTCTTATCTTTCTAGCAGTCAGAATAGGAAAAGAAATTTACAGTGTAATCCTAAACAGAGTTACACTCTTCTAAGTCCATTGAAGTCAATAGGCTTAGAAGGGTATAACTCTGTTTAGGATTGCACTGTTAATCCCATTCTGTTTTTTGTCATGGAGGTCGCAGAAGTATTTTCATATGTTGGAAAGACAATATGCTCTTTTTGTAATAATAAGCAATTGATGCCCGCATACATTAAGTTGTATTATTCAATGCTACATTTAATTATTTGTATGTATTTTTCAGTATCTCTAGACCATCTTTGTGTTCTCTGTTTGATTCATGTTTGCAGAGTAAAACGCTGCAATATATAAAAGGAGTTTAAAGCTTGTTTAGCAAAACTACATGGTTTCACTAATAATCTAAAACTAGAGCACATGTGATGTTCTAACTTTTATACATACAGCCACTGATTTGTTTCATCTCTGTAAAATTTTCATGAATGAACTTGATAATTATTGAGCTGCAGTGTTTTTGCACTGCGTGATGTCCAAAAGTCCAAAAGTTAAAAATATTTGTGTCAGAGGGGAAATAAAGTTTTAACAATATATTTCCCAATTTCTACGAAGTTTTTCAATGCTAAAAGTTGGTAGAGGTCATTTCATTAGCTAAAAGTCCTGTTGAAATAATAAAAGTCTTTTAAGTTATCTACCACTTGATAATGGGGATGGAAACATCATAATAGAAGATCTTTTCATACCATGTATTTGCCTCTTCCTGTTTTTCAGAGTGCTTTATGGAAATAAAATTACGGAGATTCCCAAGGGCCTTTTTGATGGGCTTGTGTCTCTGCAATTGTTGTGAGTATTATTCTTCCTGTTGAGACCAATCACAAATAAAATAAATTGTTGTGCATTTTGAATGCATCTGCTAATTTCAACAGAGTCAGTGCTGGCCAGTTGCTTTGTATGCAGAAAACTCCCCGAGACTCTAATTTAACCAGGCATGTAAATTCAGAATAATATCAAATTTCACAATAGTGGCAACAGTAGTCTTGAGAATTCATGCTTCCCTTTGGGGTACATGGCTTGCTAAGATTCGGTGACATGTAATATATTTAGGTGGTGGTAGGTAGATTATATATTAAAGGAGTTTTGCTGTTGAAGGGTGCTGCTGACATTTGCTGAAGAGGCTACATCTGTTATATGAGATGAAATGAAGTCTAAGAATGACAAGATAACTTGAAATTCCTATAAATGTTATATGAAAATTATATAATTATGAAACTATCTAGTGTGATGGCAAAGTAGGCCATATATGTAGCTTCAGATTTTATAGTAACTCGATCGTAAAGACTGATTGAATGGATACATTTATAAAATGCAAGCATTCACAGTAAGAAACATTCTGTGAATTATTTTGGAATAGGATTGAGACATGCCTCTTGTGGGGATGTTTCCTTCCATTTATAAAATACTAGTAATAAGGCCCATTGTGGCAAGAAATGAAACGAGCTATAGAAAGAGGGCCTGGGAGAGCACGGTGGGCTGCAGCAGTCGGCGAACCCCCCTGCCCCCGGCAGCTCTGACCGAGCGCCATGGCCAGACCACCAGTGCATGCAGGGCCAGTTCTTTAATAGGGCGAGGATAGGCGTTAGCTGCCCCAGGCCCTCCTCGCCCTTCCCTCACCAGAAAAAGGGTGGGCTGGGGTGCCGCCACTGCTGCCTTTGGCTCCCTCACAGACAATGACGCGCACCCATCGGCTGGCTTCTGTCGGGGCTTCCGTGCCACCTGTGCCGACCTCCCCCAGGCCAGCCAGCGACCTCTGAGGACGGGCGGCAACATAGCTTGGGGCCCCAGGGAGAGCTGGATGGAACTCGCCCGGGGCACTTCCCGGTAACTCGCCAACTCAGCCGGCCAGCCCTCGGCTTTTGAGTACCCCGCGTGCCACCCCTCTGCCTGGCTGCCACACAGGCAGCCGCATCACACATGTGGGGCTTCTCTCTGCAGGGCCAGACACGCAGAAGCAGAGGAGGAGGAGGAGACCTGCCATCAGACTGCGGCAGCGGGGGGGCATTTTGGGGGGACTCCATTCCCAGTAAAAGGGTTTTGGTGGGGCAAACTAGGCCCGCAGGGAGCCCGTAGGGGTACGCGTTTCTCTGTGGCAAGTTTTCTTAGCTTTTCTGGCCTTTTGCTGCACTCCCCCCTTTCTCCTCCGCCCACCGGAGCGTCCATCCAGTCAGACGGCTCACAATGCACTGAGCCCAAGGCGCTCGCCGCCACTTCTGTGGGCGGGACTCAGGCAACAGAGCCAGCCAATGCAGGAAGTGCCTTTTGAGTGGCAGATGAGGCACCCAACTGATTTTGGAGCGCATCGAACGTTGCCAGATGAAAATGGAATTATTATATAGGAGAGATTCATTTTTCTAAAGGTTAATTCATATCTCAAATTTCTTTCCTAATCTTAAATTCTTACATGTCATCTTTAATACAGTTTTAATTTGTAACATATGTGATATAGTAATATAAAAATGGGAAATGTTTCTTACCCAACAAAATATGCCCAAACAACAGTCTCCAAAACCAATGGAAAGATGTTACGTTTTCCATGGGAACTGAGACTTTTGATTTTGTAAAATATATAGTTGGCTTACATATAACTATTACATTTAAATAATGTAAATTTAGCTTTGAAGCTGTTACTACAGATTCATATTGTTTCTCCCTCACTGGATAACTGATCCATAAAGTCTTGCTTTAGTTTGCAACCTGTTGTTGAACTGTTGGGAAAGTGCTTTCTGATTAAGTCTAACTTAGCATTTAGTTGGTAATATATTGGATTTCTTCTTATTAGTCTTTTTGGACACAAAATAGAGAAAGTGTCTAAAGAGACCCTCCTGGTATCCAGCATATAACTTTGTGTAGTAATGATGATGCTGAGGGTGACAGTTCTCTCTGTGTAGTCTGAAATTAACTATTGGTCTCTTGTTTCAAAAACTTTTTTTCATATTGATGAGTATAAAACTTCTTTTAAATGGAACACCAAAAATTTTGTATGACATTATTCATTCATAGAGTTACTATATAATGCAATTTGTTTGATAAACTCATAAGGGGTTTTAAAATTGTATACTATTAAATATTTTCCATTATAGACAATTTCCAAAACATTTTGTCTTGCTTACTTACAGTCAGTGACTGACTTACAGAGCAATCCTGAGCCATGCCTGCATTGCAGCAGCCAGCCATGGTGCAGGGGTGGCAGCACTAGTCAGCTCCCTAAGGGGAAAGTTACACTGCAGCAGAGTGGGGCGGGAGTATAGCTGGCTGTTTGCAAGGCTGTGTCCATGGTGATTCCGCCGCAGTGTGGCCTTGAGGCATAGTGTTGAGGCAGGGGTGGGGCACTTTGGATTAATGGGAGCGGCCAGTCCCAGGGCAGATGTTGCACATCACAGTAAGGGGTGGTGAAGGGTGACTCGGGAGAGCCCCATTGTCCTCTCCCACCCTGCCCCCAACAGAGGCCCATGGCGATGACAGGCACACATAGTTCCTGCATAATGGCATGTCCCATGGCCAAGCCCCCAAACCCCACCCACCCACGAATACTTCAAGTCCACCTACAGCAGTGATTCCCCCAGTTGGCTCAGGAAAGAGAAGAAGATTTATATCCCGCCCTTCTCTACCCAAAGGAGTCTCAGAGTGGCTTACAATCCCTTTCCCTCCCCCACAACACACACCCTGTGAGGTAGGTGGGGCTGAGAGAGCTCTTTCAGGGCTTGCTCTTGAGAGAACAGTTCTGCAAGAACTTGTGACCGACCCAAGGTCACACCAGCAGTTGCATGTGGAGGAGTGGGGAATCAAACCCAGATCTCCCAGATTCGAGTCTGCGCTCCTAACCACTACACCAAACTGGCTCCCCATGATCCACTGCTCCCTCAGTCCTACTGGCACAGATGTCTTACCCCTGGGTGCCAGAGAATACTTCTGCTACCCCCAGTGGCTGTCATTCCACTCTGTGACCTCTAATTCCAGTCACAGAGCACAGATTGTATTGCTAGGGACCATCTAGCCAGTTTGGTGTAATGGTTAAGTGTGCGGACTCTAATCTGGGAGAACCGGGTTTGATTCCCCACTCCTCCACATGCACCTGGCTGGATGACTTTGGGCAAGCCGTAGTTCTGATAAGAGCTGTTCTTGAAAAAGAGCAGTTTCTGTCAGAGCTCTCTCAGCCCCACCTACCTCACAGGGTGTCTGTTGTGGAGAGGGGAAGGGAAAGGAGTTTGTAAGCCACTCTGAGAATCCCTTTGGTAGTGAAGGGCGGTATATAAATCCAATCTCTTCTTCTTCTTCTTCATTCCACTCTAGGGGCTGTCATTGCAGCCCAGAGACCTTAATGGGAAATCCATTCCACATTTTATTAGCAACATTTCTTTGTGCCATAATGTATTTCACTGGAGCCCATGCAAGTCAATTGGTATTCCTGGCTCCCATGATCTCCAAGGAGCCTTCAGGCCCCTCCCATTGTTTCCAATGGGCAATACTGTCACTCCGTTAAGTACATCCTAGGAATGGAATCTGGGTCTCCCAGGTCCAGCCTCACTCTCTAACCACCTCTGGCCCCCTCCCCCTGCACACAGAAGCCTGTGAAGTGAGCAAGGGAACCTGTCTGTGTGGTTGGGTCCCTACTGTGTATGGTAGATCACTACAACCAGTGGGACCTGCACAACCCTCCACAGCCACCCACAGCACCTGAGAGCCCTCCATTGGGAAGTCCATAGGGGGAGTGGCAGATGAGTTGGGGAGGGAGTGGGGCAGGAAGGGGTTTGGAGCTTCTGCCATGTAGCAGAAATCAAGTAGCAGATACACAGTTGTGACACAACATAGACTTTATTTCACTGGAATCCATGGCAAGGGGTGAGGAGTCTGTTCACTTCCACCCTGGGGATGGAGGATACCCGGCATGGCACATGCCTAGGTGGATGGCATTGCAGGTGGAACTTGGAAAGGCTTGCCGGGTGTGATGCTCTGCTTCAAGAGGAGGGCTGGAACAGCAGACTGCACAGAGTGCATGGGGGGGGGGATTTGCCACGCCCACAGGCCTCTTTGTTGAATCTCCACCCACAAGACAGAAAAACATAACTAGGTCAACTGGGCATGAGTGCTATGCTAGCTTCAGCCATGGATGTCTTGCCCTGACAGAGTCTGCAAATGCAGCCCCATGGGGGTTGCTCACCATGAACCCCCCCTTGAGGCGCATGATGGAACCAGCCAAATCACACTCACCTGTTCTGTGTTGAAGTGTTCCTGGATTGCTTGCAGTCCATCCACTACAGCAGCTGCAGGTCAACCGTCTGATTCTGCAAGGGAGTAAGTTAAAGGAACACTTGCCAAGCTGGTTCACCACATGCAGTGGAGCAGCTGCCAGACCCACCACCACATCAGACATGTCCTGTCCTCTGATGAGGGTAGGAACCAGGCAAATGACAGAGCGTTCCCCCGCCCCCAGATCTCCCAGAAAACTTCCCAGGGAACTTTTCCCATGGCATGTCAGGGGCCACGGTGCTGCAAGGCCGTAGCTTCTGCCGGGCTTGCATTAGGGTTGCCAAGTCCTACCTGTTGCTGCAGCGGGGGACTCCCGGCTCGCTCTTGGAGTTTGCGCGTGTGCGCTGCAACCACGTCACCCAGAAGTGACACGACCACGCCGGGCACGCTGGGGGCGGGGCCATGACCATCCGAGGGAAAACCATACAGTTTTCCCTCGGATGACCGTCTCCCTGCCCCCAGCATGCCCAGCGTGGTTGCGTCACTTCCGGGTGACGTGCATGTCATGTACTTTGGGGGTGGGGGAACGCTCTGTCATT